ACTTTGAGCCGGCCCCTTTGTAGGAGCGGGGCCCATTGTGGCAGTGATGGTTTTAGCTGGGGGATGTGGAGGGAGTCAGTGGGGTTTCTCGGTGTGTGCCCCCCCCCCCGTACATTTCAATGGGGCGATTTTGGGGGGGCCGTGTGAGGTGCCCGGTTGTTGTGCGGGGTCATTGTGCTCCGATGGCCAGGCCTTGGCCGTCTATCTCCTTTGGAGGAAGGATGCGTCCCTCCGTCACCCCGGTGGCTGGAGCCTGCGCACGCCGCGGGCCCGGGCCCGGCGATGCGGTCTGTAACCCAGCCGGGGACGGGTGGGATCCTGCCAGGAAAAGGGGAGCAGAAAGAAACACGCCGGTGCTCCCCAGCTCACTGAGATGGCAGCAGGCTGCGGGGACAGAGGTGCCCATCTGCTTGTCCTCCCTTTGCGGGGTGTGCTGGTTTGGCGCTGGTGTGGCACTGGTTTGGCTTGGTGACAAGATTTGCAGCGAGTGTATGATCAGAGATGATGTTTTATTCACTGGCAGCCACACTTTCTCCTGCGGCGGGTGACGGAGAGGCCGTCGGGGCTGTGCTGGATGCCCCTGAGCTTCCCGCCTGAGGCGATCCCCCCTTGGTGGGCTGCAGCCCTGCACGCTGTGGGCCGGGGTCCCACGGGCAGGAGCTGGCCACACTCTCCACCCCAGGTCCGTCTGAGGAGGGCTGGGCGGTGGGTTCAGCTGCAGAAGCCCCGTCCCTGGGAGGAACGCCGATGCTCCTCCACGGCACGGCGCTTTGCTTGGCTGGGTGGATGGGATGGAGGGCGGCTGCTTCCAAACCCGGCTGAGACCAAAGTCCTGGAGGATGGTGTGGTCCAGATCTGTCTCCTCATTAAAAACACCTCTGCATTACAGAGCCCAGGGTGAATTTGGGTATCGCCCCCATCACCGCAGTGCCTGAACACGCCAGCCGCTCCTCCCTGCTGTTTTACAGCTGGGGAAACTGAGGCACGGACAGGCTGGGGCTGAGCACAGACCCCGCACCTGGCCCCGGGCTGCCCTGGGCTGCCTGCGGCACAGACGTGGTGTCCCGGGACAAATGAGTCGTCCGTGCCCTGACGCGCGGTGGGGACACGGCTTGCCGGGGGGTCCTGAGCCAGGGGGTCCTCCCCAGAGGAGCGGCCGGCTTTTCCCCAAGGGTACAGCTTCCCCCAAAGCCTGGGTGTGCTCCGAGAGGCTGCTGGGCTCCGAGAGCACAGGAATTGGGGGACCTGGGAGAGGAGGGTGCAACGCTGGGTGTCCCCAGCGATGAGCCTTGGGGTGGTCCTGGGTGATTTGGGGTGCGACGCTGCCCGCCCTGGAGACCCCAGGGCCACCCATGAATGTCCCCGAAGATGCTCGGGCGCTTTGGCGGTGAGTCAGCACCCACCCTCCAGGCTGCCGAAACCAGGAGGAGACGAGATTGTATCGGCCTGATGGGGGGCTGGCGTGATCAAAGGGCTGGGAGCGGAGCTGAGGCTCCACACAATGGGGGGACACGATAGCCCTTATCTGCCGGCCCCGCCGAGGGGCGAAGGGGCCGGGCCCCGGGGG